TTTTATTTTTTTTGGAGGGCACAAAGAAAACTGTAGTGAAAGTATAACAAAAGGGATTAAAATTTTAGGTCAATTTCCCCCCCCCCCCATTTTGGGGAAAAATGTTCAATGTTTGGGGATAGCTGGTAGGGTTTTAAGCAAAAACAAAAAAGGGGGGGGGGACGTTAAACCTGATAATGGCCTAATGCACCCTACAGCGTATTTTTTACAAAAAGCTGTAGAAAAAGGCACCATTAAAAATAAACGTTTTGCTATTGAATTTAAGCCTATACAGTCCTGAAGGACAGCATTCAATTCAGGCACCCCTCTTCTACAAGAATATTAAGTATCATAAAGAAAGTGTGGCTGTAACAGGAAAAATTCTTTAACTTTGCATTTAATAACCCAATCTGTCCAACCCACACCCAAACATAAGATGAAATAAATGTGTAGATATTAAAGTTGTTTATTTTAACAAATACTAAAGCAAAAACAAAATGGAACATATGAAAAACTGGCAGTTCCTTAATTTGGTCCAACAGTAATTAGCACAAAAATAGCTTAACTAATGTAAATTAACAGTAATGACTTAGTAGTTTGAATATTATAAATATACCTGAACTGGTTTCTCAGAATATATCAGAATACAACAATCCTAGTACTGTTCGTTCCTATCCAACTAGGATGTTTATATATCAACAGCATAAAAAGAAATTATTACTGTACAGTAACTACACATTTAAGAAAACTTAGTATTAATAATAGTCATAAACAGGTTGAAGTCACTTTATAAACACTTTTCAGTTAGCAAAACACAACACAACAAAAATGAAGGCTTGTGCAAAGCCTCAAATTGATGCTTCCCTTTGATGAACCTTCAGTGACATCTCCCTTTGATACAGCTCCATGAAACAAAACAGTCCCCCACTCCAGGTGCCACTTCTGACTGGTTACTCTGCACACACAGAAATTATTTCCATCAATGTGAAGCGGCCCGTGCTTTCCTTTGATACATGATGGTATCAGTTGCTCCAGTGATCAGTCAAAGTGGCTCCATGAAGCGATGCAGTATCACTCCTAAAAAACAGAACTAACCACACAAAGAAGCTAACGCTGTTATAATCTGTCTACATCTGTTCATTTCTTATTTTGAAAGTTATTTCACTATTTCATATCTTGCCTTTTTGGACACAAATTCTGACAAGAAACACCAACCATCATTAGTAAAACCACAAGACAGTTTAAAAACAAAAACGAACAAGTAATCCAAGATTCCTTCCTCCTGGGAAGATGATGTCTGAGATGAGCTTTGCCTACCTACTTGGTTCTTCTCTTGAAAAGGTCCACATTTTGAGGTTCCCAACTTGGTCAGCATTATTGCTGCTGCACATTTTGCTAATTTCAAGTTGGCTTATGTGAGAGTTCCATAATTCTTAATTAAATGAATGGAGACTCATTTGATAGCATTTGCATGATTCTCCTAATGATTTCCACAATTGACTGGCTGGCTCTTCTTCAAAGTAATATTTTATTCCAGAAATAATTAAGCTGTATTATACGCTCAAATACAGGCATACCTTGGAGATATTGCGAGTTCAGTTCCAGACCGCTGCAATAAAGCAAATATCACAATAAACCGAGTTTCCCAGGGCATATCAGTTATGTTTACACTATACTGTAATCCATTAAGTGTACAATAGCATTATGTCTAAAAAAAACAATGTACCTACCTTAATTAAAAAATAGTTTATTACTAAAAAATGCTAATCATAATGTGATAGACTTGCTCAACGCAAGGTTGTCACAAACCTTCAATTTGTAAAAAATACATCTGCAAAGCACAATAAAGCAAACTGCAATAAAACAAGGTATGCCTATACTTTTAAGTCTAATATATTAATGTTACATTTACCTGCGAAATAATTTATCAATTATTAGCAGTATTTGGACTGTATAGGAAATCAAGGAAATTTGGTGAACAAAGTTAGATTATTAATTTGCATGAGTTGATATCTGTAATCAATTGGTTGACCAAAAGTATAACCCTATGCATGTTTTCGCAGAAGAAATATTCTCATACTGCCAAGATTGGACTATGACTTTCTGAATCAGGATGTTAATGATCTCTCAACAAAATAAAAAATGTTCACCTCTGCTCTCATCAGGCTATTAGTGTAATGATAAAAAAATCAAAAGGAGGCTGTGGGCTGTTCAGTTTTTCTTTCTTTTCCTCCCTTTCAAACTACAGGATTATTAAGGTTCTGAAATTACCACTTGAGAATATATTCTATATTTATATGAGAAACACGTTTCAGTCACACACTGATACATCGAGCCACTGATATAGTGACCCGTTGATCCAAACTGGTATGTTTCTCCATGCATCTTTGGCCCGGCCCTACCAAAGATAACAATCCTCCTCCTGTCCACAAAAACTTTTGTTGCCCCAAATATAAAACTAACAGGATAAGTTCATAGTCTTCTAAGCAGCCTAGGATAACAACATGGGTAAAAAGGCCCACAATACTCCCCATGTGTTCTAGTTCACTTGTCCAATTCCAAATTTAAAAAACACACTTCAAATTACGGTATTTCAATTTTCATTAACTGCACACAATTATTCAAACAATTTTTATGGACATTTAGTGCTTTCACAAATTCTGTTATAATTCATGGTGTGCAGTAGAATTTATATTTTGCATCTAACTTCTTTATATAGCTTGAGCTAACTTGCAGTATAGGCAATAAATTGGTATAACAATATTTATTTAACTACAGTATCAGATTTCTGCTCTCTGCTGCCCCCAATGTATTTCAGCCACGTTCACTAATCAGAAGTACTCCTTTGCCCTTTCCAACTCTTCTCTCTTTGCTCAAGTTCAGCTTCAGTGAAGGCTGCTGGTCCCCAATTAGTGATCAAATGAGGATTCTTGGAACCTAGAAGACATAATATTTTAGATATAGCAATTTAAATACATGTGTCACAAGCTAGTTCTAACTCGACTTTAATGATTAGTTGTGTGAGAATGTAGATGGGGCAAATATATTAAAAATGCACCCCATCAAAAGCATTGAAATAAAAATACTTTTAAAATGCCTTTCATCCTTATGTATACCAAGATGATTTGAAATAAACATAAATAAAATGAATAATAATATGTTATAAAATAAATCAAAGAACCTTAATAAACAGTTCAACCAAGCAATGCATTAATTTTCAAATAAATAAATTTTGACTTGGTACCAAAAAGATCATAATGCCACTGCCAGTTCTATTTCTATGGAGGGTTGAAAATATTCTAAAACCAAAATGCCATCAAAAGAAGTCTCTATTTTGACTCCTCTCTCTCCTTTACTATATAATGTACTTTCCTTAACAAGTTTTAACTGAGATGACCTCCTTCCAAAGTCCCTGAGACCTAGGAAGGGAGAGATAAGCCTTCATATTTGGGGTTCCATGTCACTTAGGGCTCTATAATTAAAACCAGCATCTTCAATTAGACTCTAAATATACTTCATTCAAAGTCTGGCTGTACCAATTAAATCCTGATGGTGTTATCTGCATCAAGTGAAGATTCCAGGAAACCTTCAAGGAGAGGCCACATATAAATCACTATAATAGTCTAATCAAGTGGTTATAAAAATGTTGATTCTGTGGCTAAACTATCCTGCTCAGGAAGAATTGTAACTGTTGAGCCAGCTAAAGTTGATAAAAGGTGGTTGGTACCACTGAGGCCACTTGGGACCCCATCAATCATGTCGGATGCAAAAATACATCTAAGCAACATATCTAAAACTGACTGCTCAACTATCTTCTGGACATAAAAATTATCTTATTCCAGGAATGCACAGCACTCTACGTTATGACGAATCACCCTCAGTCCACTGCTTTCATGCTGTCCATTTTCAATTTCATACGCTGATCTACAGCTATATAAAGGACTAGATAATTGGCAAAGAGAACTGATTGCCATTTGCAGATTACTGACATTTTACTGTGATTTTCTAATGACCTCATCTAGTATATTCATATAGATGTTAAAAGCCTAATGTATTCTTACATGTGTTTAGTCATAGTCACTATAAAACCTGCATTATCTGTGTTCTAACCACTATGCTGTTTCAGAGCCCAGAGCTTCCTTACAAACCTAGCTGGACTCTACACTGCAGAAGAGGATGCTTGAGAATAATTGTTTCCACCTCACTGTTCCTTAGCAAGACCACGTTTCAGCAGGAGTGCCAGCCCTCTAAAGAACATTCAGGAGTTATTGGATTTCACATGTTTCTATGGGTGGAAACCTTCATAGGCTCATTTTAATAGGACAACTACCATTCAACAGAAATTAAGCAACAGCCAACTGAAACTTCATCAGGAAATTGTCTCACTTACTATGACAATGGAATCACACAGAAATGCCCTAGCTTTGGCTCAACAATATGTCACTCAGCTGGAAATACCAGCTCCAAATCTGTCCTTTAGAAGACACTGTACTGGGAATACTTGATATTATTCTATGAATACTATGGCAATAAAGAAGCCTCAGTTTTGACCTCCCAAGTCACCTCCATTACAAATAAAAGTAGACGATAGTCAGTACATCATCAGACATCTAATCTATTTTTTTGTCCCAATAACAATTACAAATACTCAAACACATTAGTTGAGCAAATTCCTCTAAGCTACTGGATTCTTTATTGATAAGAGGAACTTTCTCTCTCTGAACTTTCCAGCCTACCCTGGTAGTATAGTATATATCTAAGCAAACAGACCTGGGAGAGATCCTTCTTCCTAACTCATGCCCCCAGATTATTGGGCTACTGGAATGTGTAATATTCAGGCTTATTTACAACCTTGCTTTGTTTAGAAGACAGTCAATAATACTATGCCTAGTTATCATAGTAATGAAAAGTCTGTTCTATTATGGACAGTCAGATGTCCTTCCCCTGCAAAAAAAACTGTCCTAGTTTAATTTTAATTTTAATTCAATCCACTATGGAAAATATTTACTCCCCAGCACCTTAACCTGGGGATGTATTTAACACAAACACATTTAGTAGTGACATATCAAAGCTGCTCTCAAGATTCATTAACTTTTCTGATAAATCTTTTATTACAAACAATAATAATGCTGCTATTATACTCTAAGTGCCAACTACAATAACATCATCATTTTTACCATAATTCACTTGGCTCTGAAAATGTCCTGTTGAACCAGGAGCTTATGCTCCTTATACTGTAGATACAGTGATTGATGAATACACATTTGCTTGGTTGATTTCCATTAAAAAACTGAAACTGAAATTAATTGTTCTTTCATGAGAAACCATAAGAAATATCCTTCAGAAGTTCAGCTCCCATAAAGAGGAAGGCATATAAACCCAATTACATACATAACTCTATCCTGCATGCAGCATAAATGCATCTCATATATAGCAATTATAATTGGACAGTAATAAATATAAAGGCAGAATAATCAAGATAATATAAATGTTATAAATAAGCCTCAAGAACAAAGGCCAACAGAGTTTTATGACATGATGAGGCTACTGAGAAATTTGACTTGCAGGCACCTAAGGTATCAGCTGGCAGTGTTTGCACAATGTCCCTTTCTTCTATTCAGGATTTGGTTCAGCTATTCTCCAGACAATAGCACACACTAAGCAGGAAGTACAGCCCAGGCTGACTCAATAATAGTTCAGACTTCTTGGAAACCATAATGGGTTATTTAAGATAAAAATAGCAGCATGAATGCTGATTCACAAAATAAAGAGTTGTTTCCTACCTGGTTCAATTAATCGAATTAATCCCTCATGATGAGCTACTCTGTCTTTCCAACTTTTGGTTTTGCTTGTTGCTACTTCCAATTTCTTCTTTACCTCCTAAAACAGAATTAACACCAGCATTATATAGAAAGAAATTCTTTTTTTCAACAGAGACTCTCAAAACATCAGGCTGGACTTTAACTGGACGTGAGCAGTGACCAGCCAAGGTCAGCACATGAAGGAGCACACAACTGCAAATACTTGTAAAGAGGGTATTCCCCATGCCTGCAAAAGCCAATCTTAGCTGCTGCTAGATTACCCATAAATTACTGTGAACCTAACTACATATTCCTATGGGTATGATTTCTTAGCTGCTATTACATTGCCAAGTTTCATCAACTTCCTAAATCTATTCCTGATACAGTTTTTGGACACAATTATCTCCGCCCCATTTCTGCACATTTTATTATTGTGCCAAACTGGTACAATACTTTAATCCTGGTAATTCTCTACAGATAATTTTCTGTTAATGTTTATGATTATGTCTGCTTACACAGTACAAACATAAATGCCCAATAAGAACAGATTCAACTCTGTGACTGGCCAGAGGCACTACAAACTGACATCTTAAAGAAGATGTAAATCAAATGTCATATTACCAACACTTGAATACATTTAGGTGACTGCTGGCAAGCTGCTATGCACACACACGCCTATCAAGATGACCTGGGAAAGCTTTACAGCACGCAGGCTGAGCCTTCTGAGGAATGCAGCTGCCTTGGCCCTTCAAGGAAGAGTATTTCATTCATATTAACATGTTTTGCAAGGTGTCCCTTCATATACTTTGTATAATCCTGGGAAGGCTACACTAGCTCACCTCATATTGTTCAAAGGCTTGCTTCCTCTCCAATTCCAGTTCTTCCAACTGCTGCATGGCGACCTGTAGAGCATGTTCCTTCATTTTTCTCTGGTTTTCCAACTCTTGCTTTTCTGCCTCCGTCATCTGAATGGTCTGCTGCTGCTCTAAGTGCCACTTTTCCAAGTCTGCTCTCTTGGCTGTCTCTTCTTCTAGTAGCCTAGAAAAGGTTTAAGTAACAAAGGGTACATATTGGGAATAACACGATTCAGGACTGACACAACTCATATGCCTTTTCCATATGGACTAAATAGTCAAGAAAGCATAATATAAAACAGGATCATGGAAATCCTCTTGCTTTTGTGCTTCAAGTCAATCAAGCTACCACACTCAGAAATGAAACCATCCCCCACATAAGGTGAGTTGTTTCCTTTTTCATTGCCCCATTTAGCATCGAGCTCAGTTAAATCTGTTTTCATTCATCTGATTCAACTGAACTTATTTCTTGATCTACAAGCAATTTCTCTGCATGATATATTTTGTTTACCATTTCTGTGGTAATATGCCTAGAACCAGAAAGAGGGAAACAATCCTTCACAAACATTCAAGGACAGAGGACCCTTTTTTAATGTAAGAATGATATTTAGGTTACTTGGGCAGCCTATAGTTTTATGTCTGTTCCATCCTTCCTTCTGCAACATAAATGACTGCCAGCCTTACACTCAGCATTTGACTCTATCCAATTACACACTGACCTGGCCTGAAGTCTCCTGACTGTTTCCTCATCCTGACGTGCTTGTTTCTCATCCTCCAGAGCTTCCTGTAGCTGTTTATACATTTCTTCAAGTTCCTTGACTCTCAGAAAGTACTGCTCAAGCTCAGATGATTTCTGAGCAACCTGTTCTTCCATTTTCTGTCTTACCTAGAAATAGGAAATGAATGCATGCTTCATTATCCTTCAGGACAAGCTTTCTATTTCTATGAGAGAAAAAGGAAAGTTTGTGGCTTTTTCTTTTTTCCCTTTTGTCCAAACATATACATGCTGAAAATATAGCATGAAACCCCTTCAGAGTTTGCCCATTCTTTAGCTGACATATACCATTTTTTCTCTCTCCAGTTCAAGACTGAATCGATCTTGTAATTCCATTTGAGTCTGCAGACGTTTCTTCTCTTCCTCCGAAGCTCGAGCAGCTGCTTCTTCTAATTGCTGGGCCAAAGAAAAAAACCCAATAAAATCTGTTCCTGGTTTATGTATATATGGAAATACAGATCAACTATTTAGCATGTAGCTGTAAACATACATACTTATTTCTTCATAAAAGCAAAAATTTTATCAAAGAGAAAAATATATATTCAAATTAAAAAGAAAGAAATTATGTGCTTCATGAAGGGATAAAGTAAGGAAGGATCTACAGGTCTCCACTGAGGCTTCATGTAAAACTTTCTGAAAAGATTAATCCCTACCAGCTCTAAAATAGTACATAAACAATAAAAAGCAGATGAAAGATAAAATCTACATAGGTTTCTGTTGAGCTGGAGATAAGATAAGCATATCCAAGAATAGCACAGACATTGCTCAAGACTCATGAAAAACTATTCCTTTTAGCTCAAACTTGCTGTCCAAGTAAGTAAAAAACTAGAAGTATTATGTTATACAAGTATGAGAAATTTGGCAACTGAATTTCTCTAGCAAGATAATCCCCACATATTTTGAGGCATGTATGGTTAGAAGTTTCTGAATGGTTTGGTTAAACAAAAATAAGGAAGCAGTATAAAAATAAGTACTTGTACAACATTTAATGCTTACAGTAGCACTACTGTTGGTCCCATAATTCTCTCAATCTGCTGTTATGAACTCAAGGCAGGAGTCATGCAATTTGGCTTGGCTTAACTGGCATCTCTTTCCATCAACAATTAAACTGTAGGTTTGAATTAACACACAACTCAACAAATTTGAACTCTTGTCTTTGTGAAGCTATTATGCCATTTTTTAAAAAAAAAAATACAGACAGTCCTCTACTTACGAACAGGTTACATTCCAAGAGGCTGTTCATAAGTCCATTTTGTTCGTAAGTCCAACCAAGTATAAAACACAGCCTCCCAACATGTGATAGTGCTGCCAAGCGTACATACGCAGCATGCTGTAAACTAACCCTTTCCCACCTTCTTCTGCCTTCTGGGACCTTCTAAGTTGGAGTTGTGGACAGGTTTGTTTGTATCGGTGAAAGTTCATAATTCAAAAGTTCGTAAGTAGAGGACTGACTGTTCAGCAAACCACCATCAATGTCACATATCCAAATTGTGTATCTGTGACAGAATATTTTTAGATATATTTATATTTTTAGATATAAATATTCTAAAATATTTTAGATATATAAATTCAGTACTCCTGCCTCACTTTCACAACACGTACTCCCAATCTTCTTGGAATCATTCCTTGCCTAATACTGGAACTTTTCCTTCAGAATCTGGCTGAAACATATAAAGCATAGCTTTTACATCACTATATTCTGTTCTTGCATGTTTATTCTTTGCTTGAATGCTCATTTCACTTTACATTGAAAGTACTCAGGTTCTGTTTCTGTTTCTACATATGAGATGGAAAAATATATCTCATTCTACAATGACCATTAAAGGTGTTTTAGATGTACATATGTCAAATTTTAGCTGTAAAATACCCAACAATTCTGACATTGCAGTGATCAAAGCAGTCAATGAGGGACAGGCATCTTAGTTATTATTTAAAGACAGTTATGCTTTCATATGCATAAGATACCCGTGCATATGAAAACATTAGGGAAAAAAAGCAGAGACTCTTATCATTTCCCTGGTCTGTAAATTCATTTCAAGCTGAACTGAGTGCCTGGCACCATCCAAGAAACTTCCCCTTGACTGTAAAACAACTCAGATAAGCAATGTGCAAATTACTGGAAAAAACACTTCTGTATTATTACTCCAATCAAGAACTACTGTAATTTTAGTACAAGGCATTTTTCTTTGAACAACTCTTTCTTTAAATCCAGTACAAGATCTATATTTGCCCTCAGTCTTTGTGGGGACAAACAATTTCTCCTGCAAGAAAGAATGATGCAAGGTTACCAATTCCCTGTGGCCATGCCATAACAGAAATCTTAGGAAGGAACTTCACAATCCTGTTTTACTCTCTGGATACCCTGAAGGCTTGATTTTGGATAATTATGTTCGAGGTACTTTCCTAGGACATAGTGTCAGGACAGTCAACTATTTCCATATATTAATCTATACATTGTTACAGTCATGAACCAGCACGGTGTGGTGGTTAAGGTATTAGACAAGGAGTGGGTAGCTGGGTGGCCTTGGGCCAGTCACTCCCTCTGAGCCCTAATCAGTGTCAGGCTCTGCAATAAGCCGCCACCCCCTCATGGCATCATACATTGACAGCTCTGCTATGTGAACTAAGTGAGCACAGCCTAAAAGAAGCAGACCCTACAACCAAGCAGGACAAATGCAAAGAACATCATCAACTAAGAAGAACAACTAACAAGAACAATGCCTATTACTACAGTCCCCGAAAATCCATGGCCTCAGAAATACAATTTACAACCAAAGTATTAATTCTACATTCTGGAATGACACAAAACCTCAAACCTACCTTTCGGACAGTTTCCAGTTCCTTCTGTTTATTTTCATTTGCTATTTGGAGCTCCTTCATTTGCCTCTCCAATTCTGCTTGTTCAGCCTGCAGTTTCTGGCGTAAATCTTTCCGTTTCTGGCGTGCCTCTTTATGAGGTGAAGGGCTTTTTAATTTTAGCAGATTTACAGTTGTCTGAATGGCTGAGTAATGAGAATAAGCACAATAATATTTATAGTTTAAGTCCATAAATACCTTTATTACTCTTTCAATCTTACAATGCTGTTCAGTTTCTAACATTAGGCCTTCATCCATACTTTTAAAAATAAAATTGCATTTGTTTGCAAATAAAAACATAGTATATGGTAATCAATAGTGTAATATAGATATATAATTACAGTATTTGAAATACCAGAATGAAAACCTTTAACATCAACTACAATATAAAGTACAATTTGTATTTTGCAATAATACCAGCTCTCCATACAATGAAATACATTTTGTCACCAGACCCAACCACTACACAGGTGGTAAAGCCAATCAGATATGCCATCAGACATACATTACAGCATCAAAACATTTGGCCGGAGAAGAGAGAAACAGAAATCTTAATTAGAGAATCATTTAACTCATTGGACTGAAGCCTAGTAAGACAATCTACAGTCTTATTAGTGGTCAGATTTACAAGCTACTTCAACTTACAACAGGCACATGAACAGGAGGATGCATTAAGCCACTGAACAGAAAAGCAGAATTTAAAATACTCTGTGGTGACTTAGGACTGATATGCTACATATTTAGGAAACTAAAGCTATGCCAGAGAAAGTCAAAGACAGGAATCTGGGCCTTTCAAGTCCAAGTATATTGTGGACTGATAACTGCCACAGACTCTTCCAGGAGATATATATGAAGGAGGCTTTTAATTTATTGGCTACAGCTTCTCTTCCAGCAAACTGTAAATATATTTAACACCAACAAAGATACCAAAAACTTCCCAACATTATTTGACATTATTCCCAAACTTTCTAAATTTAAGTTTGTTTTGTCTTTATTACTGAAAGTCCAGCATACTCTATTGCTAATTTGTTCATTTATGAACGAATACCAATTATAGCTGAAGTCGCTTTTCTACCATAAAGCCTAAATATTAATTTATTTCCGTATTTTTGTTCTACATGGGACAGCAGGAAAGACAGTGCGCACACAAATATAAAATAACATTTTCAATCTGAGAAACAATTTACTAAATGGGGTTGCTGCAATTATGAAGTCTTGATAGTTCTACATTTTTATCATTTCTTGCTCCAGGGACAGAGATGAAAACGTTCCATTTACAAGACACAAACTTTATGTGAAAAAAAAATGAAATCCACTAAATAGGTAGCACCTCAAGGGGTAGCGTTGTGTTTCTGTTTGAACGACAGCAAATGTATTGCTTCCTTATTGGTAAATGACATTTTATAGATCTAGCTGAAAACATCAAGCCAATATTATATACAAAAAATTATCATCATCCACTTTCCTGCCAATGAGAAAACCTTTCTGTGAATTTCATTAGAGATAGAAAGATCACATTATACATCAATAAGTCTTTTGTTTTACTCCAAGGACAAACGATTCCTTGCCTGTTAATCTGCCAGTCTAACAGCTAAAATTCATTTTTGATAATGGCATAAGCATCTGATGTGAATGCAGATTTGAAAGTGTTTTACTGAGATGCTTAAATTCACTTCATAATTCAGTAGTAATACTAATTTCTGGTCAGTTTTTTTAATAGCCCTACATTCTTTAAAAATTATCAGTAAAGTAAAACAGCAGTAAAAGTTTACCTTGAATCCACTCCTGTTTCTTCTTCTTATCAGAAGCACTAATCTCAAAACCTTTCTCTAAACTATTTATAAGGAAGAGACATTTTTTGCCATCTTTGTCAGGCAAGGCCTAATAAGAGAAAATTATTGTTTGTTAATTCAGAGCCACTTAATACAGAGTATAGAAACATATACCCCAACAATAATCCCCATGCACAGAAGTTAAACATCAATAAATGTTGTATCACATTTTTTCCTAAAACAAGCTAGCAATGCATATTTGGGGCAATTCAAAATTTCTCCCAGTTTTATGGAAGAAAACATGCCATAGGTAATTGTATTCACAGAAGATATTTGAGTGGTCTGCATTTTTAGAACACCCAAACTAGAAAGACAAATACTACAGTCAGGTCCAGAAATATTGGGACATCGACACAATTCTAACATCATTGGCTCTATACACCACCACAATGGATTT